TCTGTAGGACTTCACTCTGCAGTATGCCTGTTCTCTTCTGTTTCGATGCTTCTATAAAAAACTGGTTGAGGTGTTATCACAAATTTTATGATTCCTTTCCCCTGCAAGTTTGTCCATCCATCTGTAAGTACTGCAAGCCAGTGCTTCATTGATTGATTTTTTCATTCCACAGATTGCGTTACAAGTTCATATTCTGACTCTAAAAGAGGCTTTGGGACTCTAAAAGAGGCTCAAAGAATGTCTGCTGGGCAAACAGTATGATGGTCTTAGTAATTTAAAAGCTTTTTGCCAGTATGCATTTTCAGTTATTGACAGTGGCATCCCAGAAGAATATAGTGCTCTTGCAAGAGCTTGGTCAGTTTTTTTCCCCTGATCTTCAGGTGTCATCTTGTCTACAAATGAAGCTATTGAGAGTCTTTTATATACAGTTGGTTGCAATATTTGGTTACTTGAGGATGTTAATTAGGCAACCCTTTGTGATGCTGATGTTGTAGAAGAAGCAGCAGCAGCAGTAGGAGGACTTCTGGATTGAGAATGTTGGAAAGAGCTACTTGCACTTTCATCATCATGATCTATCTCCTCCTCACACCCATGAAGGATTTTTTAATGTCTGCAGGACACTTGTTACATACAAGGATGGTCATCCTAGTAGCATTTGGCAGTTTTTGCAAATTGCATTTTTTCTCAGAATAACTTGCAATGTGGAAATGCTTCCATATGCTAGAAGTTGGTCTCACCATTTTGCTGAGAGAGAAAAAAGAAAAATGTAATTTAGTGGCTAGCTTGTGCATATAAACACTAAGCTACAGCATGTACAAATTTAGTAATGGATGGAGGAGAGGCCTCCTCAGAGTTAGCCATGAACAACTTCCCTGCCCTGCAGGCCTCATCTAACTGCTAAGGTTGGGTGATTTGTCACAAAACATAAGATTGGTAGGAATCCAATTATGAATGACATAAGTTATAAAAATATACTAATGCAGCTAAAATATAGTTTCAATTAAGAAGTATACTTTCTTTCAGCTCCTTTGTGCTGCTCATGTACTTCCGCTCTGTCACAGGGCCAGGAGAAGGCAGGTTCCTTCCAACTCCAAAACCTTTAGATTTGTGCTGTCTCCTCTCCTCAGGCTTTTGACTAAGCAGGGCAATAAGTTCCTTGTTTCTAATCTCTACAGGAACAAATGGATGCTGCTGCCAGTGTCCACTTTCAGTCCTTTGAGGCCTAGTCAGGAGGACAGGAGCAGATCCACCAACCTCTAGATCAACAGTCAACAATAGAGGAAGTCCACAAGCAAAGAAGGCACTGAATCCTTTTTCCTTCTCTTGTGAAAATGGCAGTGCCCCCAGGGGGCAGAAATGCCTCTTGTTCTTGCATTTGAGAGTTGTACTGTACTGCTTGTCCTCAGTGTATAGGAGTTGTAATGATCTGATACTATGGATGGTCTTACATAAAAGTCTTCCTCTTACATAGTTATTAGAAAACATTTTGGGGAGTAAAAGGTAGCAATATATGAACACCTTGTCTTAAATATTTTATTCATCAGTTGAAAAGAAAATATTTCATTAGAAGTTTTAATTTTTCCAAAAATGTTCAATTTTTCAGAAAAAAAACATAAAAAGTCCTCCAAAAAAAGGGAAGAAAACCTTTTTTTTCAGAATTTTTCTGTTTTTTTTCCCAGGCCTTTGCATCTCTAGTGGTAACTGGAGGCAGACACGCTGACCTATACCATACAGGTTTCCCTTGTTTTATACGGGTTCTGTATGAGCAAATTTACGCAACTATCCTTTTTATTTAAAAAATTTGTTATATGCAAGGTAAATTCACTCTTATGCAATTGGTGTGGTGGAAGCCTGCAGTCAGGTGCTTTGTGTGGTGCATTGTGGGAGTGATGTACACCAAAATATAGTCTCCCGTGTAGATCTGTGCCCCTCGCTTATTGTCCACAACATGTTTCTGTAGTTGCCATTCTCATTATGATAGTGCCCTGTGTTTGTGTGTACTGTCTGCTGTTGGCGACTACCAAAATTGTCTTGTAAAAGTGGTAGAAATGGGTCAGTACAGTCGAGGACTTCTAATGTATCCCTATTTGTTACAATATAAAGTGGGTTCCCTTTATGCAAATTCAAGTTATGTGCTGTTTTCCAGGAATGCATGTACAGCATAATTAAAATCAGCGCATAAATCTTAAGACTGATGTTTGTATAAGAACATTCAAAGTTTTAATGCGACATATGAATTAATTTCTTGTTTAAGAAGCATAAATTTTAGATTTAAGTGAAACAAACAACTGCATTATATTTTAAAATGTTTCTTTATGGCTTTCTTCATGTTGGACCTAACACAGCCAGTATTTTTGATTATAGCAAGTGAACAAACTTCTATTGGTGGCTTATGAGAAGGTAAAACAAACCTTCTCATAAGCCATCTTATAATGTGGTGGCCAAGTAAACCTGCCACCACATTAACTTCTACGTTTTTGAGGTGGAATCTCCAGGTTAAGATTTCCCTAGTTCTTCAGTAAAGTGGCTGTATTTGCACTCAAGAGACCTGCTCTGCACAGGCTCCTTTGGCAGCGTGACTTCCTTTTTTTAGGTCTATAGAATGAGGATAATCCTTTTTGTCCTTACTGAAATCGAGGCAGGGATAGTTATGTTTAGTACTGGGTTGTTAGGCCTCCTGGTGCTGCTATTGATTTTATTGCACTAGTTACATTCAGCTGACCATGCTGCTTGGTTTTACCGTAGAGGGAAATATATTTTCTAATTAGAGAAGTGATTCTTAATCTTTTCAGTGTCAGGGCATCCTTCCATCACTTCTTTGAATGCAGTACTATCCCTGGTTGAGAACCACTCTTGGTGCTTCTCAGCTGGGTTTGGCTGCCTCCAGGTGGAAGCGCCCCCTGCACTGCTGCACAGCTAGCCAAGGAAAGGTCTGTAGCATGTACACACTCTATTAGACATTAGGGTTTTGATCAGCCTAAAGCAGGCAGCTGCTGCCTTCTGCTGTGCAGCTCTTCCCGATCCAACCCCCTTTACACTTCTGCAAACAGAGGCATGCGAGTGGAACTGGCTCATGCACCTTCTGTTCCTGGGAAGGGTGTTAGGGGGTCAGGACAGGTTACACAGCAACAGCCAGCTCTTGCATGCTTTAGGCTGATCGGGAGGAGCACGTGGGCAGTTAGCTGGCAGCTGCTGTTGCAGCAGCAGTGCCTGTGTTGCAGCCCCTTGAAGGGATCTCGCAGCACCCTTGGTTGCCACAGAACTCCAGTTGGGAACCACTGAGAGCAAAAACCTGAAATTTCATTTTGTTTTTGCTGCAATTTCGAATGAACTATTTAGTTCAGATAAGCTTCTTGGGGAGAAAAGAAACTAACATAACAACTACATGGCTGAAAATGTGAAAACAGATGAAAGTTGCTTTACTTTACAGCAGGGATGGCCAATTGGCAGCCCATGGACTGCTTGAGGCCCATGATCAGTTAACATGTGGCACATGAGCCCCAATGGCTGCCTGTCCTGCTGCCACATGGCACAAAAAGGACGGGGGGCTCTGTGCACTGCCTGTGCAGTTTGTGTAGTGGGGGCCATGTGCTGCTGGTGACGGGGCTGGGATTCGCTTGGTGGTGGGGGCAGGGTTTGTTTTGCTAATGCAGTCCATGCAGTGGAGGAGAATTTTGGGGGGCCATACCGAAGTTGGACATCCTGCTTTATAGGCTGATTATAACTTGTTGTATGGGAGCCATAACTTTGAAAATCGTGACTTATGTATTTCTCTGAACAGTTGACACAGTTTTTTATGTGCTGATTTGCACGCGGTATGATTTTCAAATGGCGGGATTTTATTAGTATGTTTGTTATATTTCTTTTGAAATAGGATGGCCTCTGATGCAGGATGCACCCAAATTTTCTGATGCTTAATTCTGACCTCAGAGATGTCTTTGGTGCCTACAAGAGCTTTTTACTTTTTCAGTTTGATTAAAGATGGAGACCAATTTTAGAAGAAACAAGTCTGTATAAAACTGTCTTGTATTACAAGGAGTATAGTATATTGCAAGATTTGATTGCAGTAGGTCATGTTCTTTGTACGTGACTTCCACCCATGTACAAATTGGTGTTTTTAAACCAGATTTCTTTAGGTTAAAGGTTCATTCATTTGTTCATTCTTTTTTCTGAAGCCATTTTTGAGTTAATACAAATATTTCAGTCAAACTACTCTTTAACAATGGATCTATTCTTCCTGTAATTCTTCCAAACTACAGTACCCAGGCAAAACACCTATGTTTGGACCTGCTTAGAATACATTATTTACATTACATTTCATTATCTTTTTTGTGACAGTCTATGGTTTGGGCAACAGCAGTGTCTTAATTTTTATTTTTTTTTATTTTAAAAAAATGTTGCTGATCCCTGACCTAGAGTTCTACCTTTTTGGACAGAGTGCCAAAAACACCTGTGATCTTGACTTGTAAGATGTTGGCATGCCAGGAGCAGATGGTGGGGGAGCAATGAGGGGGCCCGATCCTTGTTGTGGCAGTGCAGCCTTGAGGCATGTCCACCCTGACACACGTGTGCCAAGCAAAATGCCTTTGAATACCACACTCTGGCACCCATGCTGGGTGGGGGTTGCCTACCCCTGCTCTAGGTGTATTCAGAAGAATATGCATGGCCCCAAGGATGAAAAGTCCAGCATGGCAGCATGCACCATAACAGTTCATTCCACCCAATTATCCTGCACACTGCCACTTTAAAGTTCTCCCCCTTTAAGGCCCTCTAAGGTACTTTCACACTTATGGGATCAAATGCCCTTGAATTTTGGGCAAATCTGTGCAAGCAAGTTGATTTTTAGAGCAGTTAGAAGTATTAATCTCTCTCCTGCTTTTTTATAATATTTAGACCATCAAACCACCATCTCCAAAATCTTTTTAACAGGGCTTGATATGCTACATTTTTAATGTAGAGATACTTTCCACTGACTTGCTATTTATTTTCTTTAAAATTAGTTTAACTGATGAAGAATCTCGAAAAAATTGGGAAGAATTTGGCAATCCAGATGGGCCACAAGGTAAAAAAATTAAGTGATAATCTCTCTTTTACACTTCTCTCCTACTAATAGCTGTTGAGCCACAGCAGCTGGTTTGAGTCCTGCTCATTTTTCAATGGATATAGGATAACTATATTCATTTGGCTGAAGGAACATGTCTAGTTAAGTCTCAGCTTGTCAAATTTTACAAATAAGGCTTCTAGGAGAATTGGGGAACCAGGAAAGGTTTGCCTGATTGATTTAAAAACAATTTAGAACTTTGTTTTAGAGAAAATTGCAGAGGTGTTACTACTTGCCTACTACAGTAACTTATCAGAGAAAGCTGCCAATATTTTATGATATAGAGGAGGAAAAAATGTGATGGTAACCTATTTTCAAGTTTCTTTGTATGTATATCACATACATTAATAAAATGAAGTTATGCTGAAGTGAGACTCCAGGCTATAATGCACTACATTTTCTGAAGGTTTTAAATACATGACAGCAGGTTTTCAATTAAGTGGGACTGTTTATTCCATTATTGATGCCTGTAAACTATTACACTCTATGCTGCCAGCACTTTGTTGTCAGACATTCAGTAGAATTCTAACAGCCAGGATCAGTCCTCTGCAGTACTTAGGATACTGTAACCTTATGTTCAGGTACTACTTCAGTGGAAGTAGTTAAACGGTATCTTACTCCTTTTCTTGAGTAGTAGTTACAGTGAAGGCTTACATAAAGTGCACAAAGCAATATTTAAACTGGCTATGTTTGTGTATTGTTATAGTCTTAAAAATATTAATATATTGCTATAATCTAAAAAAAAAAGGAGAAACTTCCTACAAATTTGAGTCCGATAGTTGAAATATGAAAATAGTGTGCGATTTTTATTAATAAAATACTTCACAAACTGTACCTGTCCTTGTAAGAACTGTATGCATTGTTGGATATAGGCGAACAGCTTCAGTTAAACTATATACAGAAAAAAAAATGTTATTCTACAAAACCAAATTTTTTTTTTTTTATGAGAATCTGGACTGATTCAATTATGTATACCTTTTTAGCTTTGATCGCTAATTCTGTTGTCACTAACGTTGTTTTCTTGGCTTTAGTAATAATGAGACACTAGCATATTTGTATCCTTACCACCCGCCTTCCTGAATGCGTGATATGTTGTGAGAAGCCAATATCAGTTTTAATATTCTACCGTACATTACCTACCTGGCTGCTAAGCCTAGTGAAAGTAGTCGTCAAGGGCCACCAAGTGAAAGGCACCAAAACTCCTGCAGAGAACACAGGGCACTGCTGCCAAAGATTGAACCCTCCTTTAAGC